TGTCCAAACGGAATATGTCTAACACAGCGTCAAAAAGAAGTCTGCACGAAAAAGATGACAATGTTTCTTTTGATCCACACTCAAAAACACGCACCTCTCAGGCAGCGTAACCTCCCCAACCCCCAAAAGCCACTGTGACCACAATAGACAAAGAAAACTCAGGTAGAATATCATGCGTAGCACATGTGTAACTGATACGTTCGGCTCATTGTAATCAGAGGTGACAGAGGATTTTAGAAAAAGCCCAAAATAAAGTAAATTGTCATGCTGTGTGGAATTTCCCTGAACGTCCACCAGCCCAAAATAACATTTTCCATAAGATTAATTTTCCCAAGCACTCAGGAAAAATATTCTGGTACAGTGCGTGTTGTTTCTTAAGAAATCACTGTATTATTGAGTGTTCCCATCTGTCACACTGTCAGAAGCTGTGGGCTAATGAAAGCTTCAATCAGTCAGTCTGTCCTGAGAATAAAACAAGAACTGATGTCAAAGCACAATATCCTCATACCCTCCATGAAATGAAAATATCTCAGAAAACACCTTTTGTTCAGTTGCTGGACATTTATTTGTGAAATGATTTCAGTAGGAATGTTTGGCTCTGAATCCTCAAAGATATTTTAATGGCGTAGACTCCATTAATTATGCTGGGAATTATATGCTGTTGCAATTTTTGGCGTGTGAAAGAGGACACAATGTGGTACAGATCACATTAGTTTGGCACTGGAGGTAAAGTTGTACTAAGTTAGAGCCCAAAGCGACATTCTGCAGTAAAATGACTTTATATGAATACACCCATTCAGGAACACCATGACCAGCAGGGGCACTGTGACTGCAGCTTCCATAGACTTTAAATAAAGTTAAGCCAAATCATCTGGATCGCCCCCTGGTGGCTAGCTGCAGTCATAAAACTAGCCTCCTACATGTTAGCTAACAGACTATGAGCCAAACTAAAAAGTGAAAATACACATCAAATAAATGGTTGCTGTGATTTAGGTAGTTCTTGTGATCATTCTTTCACTAAGTCTGGTTTGAATTAGTTACTGGATGCTATAAAAATAAGGTGAAATGTCAGCTGAGCCTGTCTTGTGAATGTTCATGACTCCATGTCCAATAGATAGACCTTGACAGGCAGCGTCTTTACAGGATAATCAACATTAGTCATCGAATCTTTGAACGAGTGGTGTTATGGCCCATCGGTGCAGTTCACTCTTTCAGCTGTGCAAACAGATAACGAAGAGTTCAGCAGAGAGACGAATCATTGTTTAGGCTGCAGGTCAGTGACACTTGGGTTAACACACTTTCGAAGGTGACGGATGTGAATATATTTAGTGGTAAACACATGAACAGCAGGCACTTAGAAAAAGGTGAAAGTGCAAGCATGCCAGGTTTTACACAGTTGTGTCATCTTTTGTCAAAATAGCACTGGAATACACAAAATTAGATTTAGAAGCAAACCAGGATATTTATATACTACATTATTTCCCCTCACTAGCTTGTGACGATGCAGAAATTACAGTACAAAATGTAGAAAAAAGGAATGCATATTATAAACGTTTACAAAAACTGGTTCTAAACCGTAGTAAAAATAGAAAATGTCACAAAGCAGTGGAAATAAACCTTTTTAAGCAGGTGGCTTGTTTGATTGACAGGCCATGAATCTGTGAGGTCTCATTTTTCCATATCAAGTGAAGCTGTGATGGAACAAGCGTTCATTGGACTGTCAGAACTTTATTTTTATCCACCTAAATCTGATACACATTAAATCCAGGGCTTGTGTGAAAGGCTTCGACAGGGTGGTTAGTACTGAGTTTACAACATCAGTTTAGGGGGCTTATGGTCCAGGAGGAAGGCCCCTGGGTTTGGGTTCTGGTATGGTTGAGTTCGTTTCTATGTAATGCTTTGTTTACACATGTGTAAACACACTTGGAGGAAAGTAACTTTGCAGTAACAGCTGTTCACCCCCAACAGAGGCGGACAAAGCGTTACATAAACTCTGCTTTATAACATACGGAACATCGTGACGATCAGGAGCCTTAGTGATTGATTTTTGTTTTTTCATATTTAGCTTCTGGTTTGTCTGTTAGCAATATTAAGAGAAAACTATTTTTTTTTAATCTTGAAACCAGACCAAGAAAGAACCCACTAACTTGTCAGGAGGATTCAATTTGAATTTACTTTAAGGCGACCAAAATAATTAAATATAAAACTATTTTATGTATGGGAGACAGATGCTTTAAGACTTTTTTTTTTAGCATTGCAGATGATGACTGTTCACATCCCTTCCAGGGCCCACCTGCCTTGACCACAATCCAAAAACAAGACGCAGGGCTTGATCACAGTTCATTTAATACCCAGTCATTAGCCGCTAATAACCATCATTTAATAGTGAAATTCTTGTTATCCCTCCTAAATGAGGCTTGATAAGAAATTTGTTAATTGACAGGAAACTCAAACTTGCAGCGGCCCATCTGTTTTGCCGGAGTATTATTCACTCTCCGTGACTGTGTGTGTTGCTTTAGCTACTGGATGGGGTAACCCCAGTCACTTGCCTCCTCAACACCTGTGTTTACTTTGGGGCCTCAGCCCCCTTGACCCAGCAGCAATCCTTCACTCACTCAGGAGATGGAGCGAGGTTCCAACCTCCAAATATGTGCTGTCCCTGCACTTTTACCACTGTGTGATTCCTCTAAGACTTTCATGATGGAGTCACGGGCCAAACGACTCGTATAAATTACAACCCTTTCCCAAATTCTAGTAAATTCAAACATCCCGATTCTCTCAGCTCTTTCACTGTGATGTTAAGCTACGCTAAGAGCAGAAACTGGCTGTTTGTCTGAGCCTGTTGTGGTTGCTGAGGCTTCTGAAGGTGGAATGGAAAGTGGATCTGAGGAGCCATTACTGTAAAATATAACCGAACTTGTCTTCTTGTTGGCCAGAGCTGCAGACAGAGCTGGATCCAGTAATAGTGAATATTCAGCAGTAACATAAAAATGAAAGAAACAGATTTATAACTCAGGGACTGCCGGTTCAATCCTGCAGGTGTCTTAAGGGAAGTTTTGAGGATTATTACTTTCTCTTACTGAACGTCTCTGTGCTGAACCTAAACTCTTTCTTTAACACAACAAATCTGTCCATAGCAACAACTACAGTACCCTTTGATCAGATTATTCCTGACTCAAATCTTAACTTTTACCTTCACAGGTTGTTTTTTCAGCAGGATTACGCAAGAACTTCTGAATGGATTCCCATGAAACATAGAGGAAGGAAGAGTCATGGGCCAAGACAGAATCCAGTAAATTTAGGCATTGATTTAATGTTGTATTTCAAAGTTTTATTTTATTCCCTTATTTTATTTGCCTTAAGCCTAGTTTATGCTTCTGCGTCACGTCGACGCCGTAGCTACGGCGTAGGTACGGCGTCGACGCAGACCCCTACGCCGTAGCCTGACGTGCGCCTCCCAAAAATCCTAACTACGCGGACGTCGACGCGGACCGTAAGCGCTGTGATTGGTCCGCTCAGAACGTAAGTTCCGGCGGTTGCTTTTCCGGTCTTTCTTCCTCGTCGTAAAAACCAACTCCGCAAACGTTTTCTRTGTAGCTTGCGCTTCAACATTTGCAATATAAGCATTTGTTCTTCAATATTGATGAGCTCCAACAGCAAAAACAGCTGCTCCACCTCGGTCGCCATTGTTTAACTGTTGTTTACTTTACGGAAGAAAAAGCGAGGATTCGGCTATAACCACACAAACACACCGCTACACCCCCTAGCGGCATGGCGGTGAATTGCAGAGCAACGCGTTCCCTCGACGCAGAACTTCGAATGCTCAACGACCTACGGCGTAGGTACGGCGTAGACGTGACGCAGAAGCATAAACTAGGCTTTAGTCCCAAATTGTTTTAATCCAGTTTCAACCACATAAAAGACTTAAATTTAACGCTCTAATTTTTAAAAGTGCTGCAATGGAAAAGTGCTGTAACTGTAAATGAACCAATGAATTTGTCAGTAAAAAATGTACCAGGATGAAATAAAGTTACTATAAAATTACATGTTGATTTAAATGAGGTGAAAATAGTTCTGCCTCAATGTGTGTTAAACTTCAAGTGCAAATTTGTTGACACACACACGGAAAATATACATATACAATATAAAATCAAATATTTCAGTCCAGATTCTCAGTTCAGAAATGGGTTTTTTTTCCCACCGTACTGTAAATGTGGCCTTTCTACGTTTTCTTTTTACAGTTTCCCTTCTTCTGAATTCTTACCCACAGCTGAGAGCTCACCAATGAGCTGTTTACAGCCTCAAAATACGTTAAGTCGCTGTGGATCTGATGAAAGTTGTGCACAGTCCATTCTGAATGTGTGCCAGAGTGCTGTTGCTCGTACTGCCGTGTTAACCGTTCATATATTAGTGCCAGTGTTTTTTCAGGTGTGGATACACTAGTTAGTGCCAAAAACCCTGTTTCCATGGAAACAAGCCAGCCAAGAGTGTAAGAAAAAGCTGCCACGGTTTCATCTAAAGTCATTAAACTGTGATGTGGTCAGTGCCTCTGCAGGCAGCTGTGACATTCTTTTGAAATTTGCAGTTTTCCAATTTTTTTTACAATGTTTTGTGTTATGAAATGGTATCTGGAGTATTCGGGAGTGTCCTGGGAGCTTGGCATGTTCGTTGAAGAGCTGTGCACTGACATATTAGAAGCTGGCTTGAGTCTGCCTCATGACTCTGGCTGTATGTCATGCTCACCGTCTTTTGCCTCCTGCATAATAATTGTATAAAGTATTTGAATATTTCATGTATCACATATTTTTCTTAAGTCCTGGAAACTTAATTAGTGTCATTAGAAATATCAAGAAAGTCAAAGAGGCATGGTTAGGAAACATCTTCTGTCGACAGTACATCATAGGTTGAGAAGCTTCCATAAAGAACCTTTAAGTCTTCATGTGACTTTTTCCTCAGGTTAAGAGAAACATTTCAAACCGTTTGCATGTTGTCTTTTCCAGGACACTGGCAAGTGCAGGAAAAGAACTCAAAGATAACTTCCTGAAAGCCCTGGCAGAGCGAGAGGAGGCCAACCGCAGTGGGAAAATGACTGTGAGTACATTATTACAGCACTCCAATTGCTACGTAATGGGATTCCCCTTCAAATATTTCTGCAATTCCATTAGTTTGGGAACAAAATCCATACTGTGTCAAGTGGAGTGGAAATGCCCTCCCTCCCTCCCTCCACACTCCAAAGACCATGAGAGTCAGCCAATCGCCCTTCTACCATCCATAAAACTGTGTTTACCAAAGTCCAACTACCTCGTCCTATGTGTGCTTCTCAGATTCAACAGCCATAATAATCTTAAAAAAGGCTACAAGCCTGTAGAGGTGTTTACAATCTGAGGAGCTAGTTTTTAGTTTCTGTGACGGGAAAGTGAACCCAATGTGGAAGTGTCAGGCGCCTTTATTATCTTGAATGACCAGCAGAGGGCGACTCCACTGTCAATGAGAAACTCACTTGATTTATAACCTCAGTAATAATTTTACCACCAAACAGCAGGATTTTTAACTTTCCTGTCGAGCCATGAACGGGTGGTTACTTTAACCTGGTTCATACGGTATCTACCTCCAAAGCTTTATCATTATACCGGCTTCCCGAGAAAATCTCTGTCGTCAATACCGAACTTTCTACGTATTGACCTCAATGGCCCAAGGTGGTATCTGAATTCTGTTTCAGTACAGGGCTAGAAAGTAGAAAACCTTGGTGTTTTGAGTGTTTGCACATTGACATGTCTGTAGTCGTGCTTTGCTGTTTAATGAGCCCAGGAAGGTGTATTTTATAAATCATCTGCAGTATCTGCTTGATAAAACTTGGATGCACAGGGGAGAGATTTTAACCTCTGACCATGAAGCTGAATATTTTTACTACAAACACAACTTTTAACACCATCCTCTGCGTCTACTTAGAGTATATGATGAATGGAATATGTACCATTTCAGGGATTGTAGTCACCGGTCTGCGGGGAGTGTTGGTGTTGACACACTTGATATAATTCACTTCTTAGATGCTGGTGTAGGAAAAAGGAATTTTGTTTGACCCCCGTTTACCTGCCCCCGTGGGATTTGCAATTATGAGATCACATGAAGTGCATGGAGGGGAGCAGAGGTAGTAACACCAGAAGTTTTCCCACTGGATGTTCACTATGTAAACAGCACCATGCAAAAGCCCACTGTCTCTCTGCCAGTCCGTCTTTTGACTCTACATTTCTGTCTCTTTTTTCTAAAAGAAACCTCCTGCGAAAGATTAAGTGATTTTTAAAGTATCACTTCCTGTATACAGAAACGAGAGCCAGAATAAAAACAAGCAAAATATCATGTTGTGTATTCCCAACATTGTTTTGCTGACATGATATTTTCCCACCTCTTCTTATTTTTCATCTCTTCAGAGCTTCCCTTAGCTGAAAAATTGGATTGGGACGATGTTTATTTTCCTTCGAGCCGCGCTCTGTTTAAAATTGAATCCACATTTGTGCACTTAATACCTTGTCCCTTTGAAACTGTTTAAGTAACAGCTAAACTTAATACAGTTTGACGAGGCTTGACCTCATCGGTATATTTACATTACACAGATGTATTCCAGACAACATATGCACATGTGCGGACATACAGTAAAACATGTGTAGTATCCTGTTCACTCTATATTTATTT